TGGCTGGGTATAGTAATCTGGGTTGGCATCTGTGGTCATTTAAACCTGGGAATACTTTGGTCCAGGCTCTTCTGGCTTTCATATTTTCACTGAAAAGTCTGCTGTGATCCTAATGTGTTTTCCTTTATATGTGACTTGTTATTTCTCTTTTGCAGCTTTCAGAATGGTCTCTTTGTTTTATACGTGTAGTGTTTTTACTATGATGTGCCGTGCAGAGTTTCTTTTCTGGTCCTGTCTGTTTGGTGTTCTATATGCTTCTTGTATTTGTATGGGCATGTCTTTCTTTAATTTTGGGAAATTTCCTTGCATGATTCTGTTGAAAATCTGGTCCATACCATTATCTTCGGATTCTTCTCCTTCCTGTTTGCCTATGATTCGTAAGTTTGGTCTTTTTGTGGTGTCACATAATTCCTGTGTATTCCATTATTGTGATTTCTTAAATTTTTCATAGCCTTTGCTTGAGTGGTCTAGTTCGTCCACTTTATCTTCCGGTCTTGATACCCTGTTTTCCATTTCATTCATCCTATTGATGAGGCTTTCTCCTGTCATTTCTAATTGGTTTACTGAGTGTTTCACTTCCTTCTTCATTTCAGCCTGAGTATTCTTTAATATTTCTCTTTTTTTAATTCATTCAGAAGTTTATCCCTATCTTCTTTTAGTTCTTTGATTTGTTTGTGTTCTTTAAATTTGTTGAATTCCTTGATCATGTTTATGATTGTTCTTTTTAATATTTATTATTTTAATTTTATGTGTATGAGTGTATTGCCTGCATGTATGTGAGTGCACCCATGTTGTGCAATACCAGAGAGGTCAGAAGAGGGCTTTGGAGCCAGGTGTGGTGGTGCACACCTTTAATTCCAGCACTTGGGAGGCAGAGGGAGGCAGATCTTTGTGTGAGACTCAAGCCTTCAAATTTAGGTTTTCTTCTTTTTGTGAACTTTATGTGTCTTTGTGGTTTACTTTTGGGCATGAAAAGCTGGTTTCTCTAAGCTTCCAGTTCTCTGTCTTGATTTTATATTGGAGTGGTCAGATTGCTTTTGTCTTCAGGAGTTCCCACAGAGGCCCAAGTCAGATGAATATCAGATGCTCTCAGGTTTTCTCCTAAGGTCTGGATCCCTCCAGTAAAGATTTTGGCCTCAGGAATTTGGGCATCAGACTGGCCTGTGAGCCGGGCCCAGGAAAAATGTTGGTCTAGGGCAGCTGGTGGCCTTGCCACCCAGAGATGCAAAGGAAGATGGGAGAAGGAAATGGCCCCAAGGGCCCCTGGGGACTGCACTGAGGAGCTGGGTTGGTCTGGATGCAAAGGACCAGGAAGAGGAAAGGTCAGCCCTGGCATCCAGGAAAGAGGCTGGTGGGTAGTGCAGGCCCAGGGAATCAGAGGGAGGTGAGGGCGAGGCCAGGCCCAGGGTGCCCCCAGGCCCAGAGAAGCACTGCGTTGTTCTGGATGCAAAGGATCAGGAAGCAGTGGTGTTTCCCCAGGTGTCTGGGGCGCCAAGACAAGGAATGGGATAGGACCCAGGCTAGGAGGAGAGACAGGCAGGGGAGATGGGAGGGTGAATGAGGCTGGGGGAGTCAAGGCTCAGAGGGGAGGGCGAGATGCACTTACCCTGGAGTGAGAGGCCTGTGGGTTGGAGAGAGGCCCAGGGAAGCAGCAGCAGCACCTTTTTTTTTTTTTTTTTTTTAATAAACCAAATGACAAAATCCAACTCTCATAAAGGGAAAAGACTTGCTTCTAATACACACACAAAAAATCACTATATATGAGAAGCAGAAAAAAAGTCAGTGAATAGAAACAAACCCAGAAATAAAAAGATGATAGAATTCACAGATTAGCACAGGACTTCAAATCAGTTATAATAATACGTATACTTAAAGGAAAGCATGAATATAATAAGAAATGAAATAAAAAAGGAAATAGAAGCAATCATATCAAAGTTTTTTTTTACTCACACCCCCTTGAGACACACACACACTCACACACACACACACACACTCACACTACTAACCCTACACCCTCTTTTCTTTAAGATATTTTGTTTCTGGTATTTTTGTGTTTGTTTCAATATATGAAAGCATTTTAAAATAATCTTAGGAACATACCCTATATGTGCTTTAAATGACCTGGACACACACGGGAATCAGTGGAACTAAGAGAATGCCAGACACATTTTGGCCCTGATTGTTTACAGAGACTGTAAGATTTCTGGTCTGCTTCTGGAGCATGGGGCTGTAAGAGGAACTGGTCACATGATCTCAAGAACAGCTTTGTGATTAAGGCCCAGTTGTCCAATTGGTCTATCTGACCTAACCCAACCTCACTGATTCTATGACTCTTAGTCATAGTATCTTTTTTTTTTTCTGTTTAAGCTATATTATTGTTGTGTGTGTGTGTGTGTCTGTGTGTATGTTTGTATATGTGTGTGTATTTGCAAGTGCAGCACACATGGAGGTCAAAGGACAACTTTGTGGTCAGTTTTCTCCTTTCACCTGTATGTGGGTTCCAGAATGGAACTCAGGGCACTAGACTAGTATAGCAAATGCTTTTTCTTGCCGAGCCGACTTGATGGCCCTTTTCCCTATTTTATAAGATTCTTTAGGAGTTTGAACAGGATCTAAGAGCCCCTTAAAATGAAAAGAGAACTATCAACTAGAAGGATAATATGTCCAAAAGCTCATTTGAATTATTTGTGAGTCTTTGGTAGCAATGCTGATTTAGGTTGAATTAAACAACTCGGGGTTAATTGAGAGGCTGAATCTTCTCACTTACCTGTGTGTGGCTTGCATCCAGGAGAGCATAGTCTCACTTAAAGATATATATCCCATAAACATTGACCTTGATCCTAAAGCTAAATTTCCAAATTTGAGATCTCTCAGTGTGCTGGATAGCTTCAGTTGTCAACACATCTGGGAAAGGGAGCCTCAGTTGGGGAATTTCCTCTGTTGATTGGCCTATGGCCTTGTCTGTGAAGCATCTTCTTGATTGTTGAGTGATGTGGGAGGGTCCAGCCCACTGTGGGTGGTGCTATCCCTGGGTAGGTAGTCCTAGGATGTATGTATGTATGTATGTATGTATGTATGTATGTAAGAAAGTAGGTTGAGCACAAGCCAGAGGAGCCAGCCAGTGAGCCGTGCTCCTCTGTAGTCTGTGCTTCAGTTCCTGCCTCTGGGCTCCTGCCCTGAGTTCCTGCCTTAGCTTCTTCCCTTGATGATGGACTATGAGCTGTAAGCCAAACAAACCTTGGTCTTCCACAAATTGTTTTTGGTCAGTACTTTGTCACAGCAATTGAGAAGCTAACTAGAACAATCAGCTTTTCTGAATTTGTTCTCATAATCAATCACTCAGGATCCATAAGTCACCGAGTTTGTAAAGTGTCCTTACAGCATCCCTAGTTTCCAAATCCAACCTCAGAAATGCTCCAAAATCCAGAGTTTTTTTAGCACAGACATAAGATCACTAGTAGACAGTCCTACATCTGACTTATTGGGGCAGGCTGTTCAAAACAAAAGTCTAATAAAAATACTGTATAACATTACCATCAGGCTGTGTGTAAGGTATATGTATATATGAAATACAAATATACTCATGTTTAGTTTTGGGCCTAATCCCAAGATATCATATGTAATAATGTATATGCATATATTCCAAAATCTGAAAAAAAATCAGAAATCTGAACCATTTCTGGTCCCAAGTATTTGAGATAAGAGATTCTCAACCTGTGTAAGGTTAAACTTAAAAATTCTGCTGGAGCTGTTTCTACTTAGAATTTTTAACTAGAAACTCGTTTGCTTCTGTACATCCTCATGCTGTAAGGGAATTGGAGATCATATTTTAACTAGACCCTGGTTGAAGGAAAGTGGACACATAGGTCTCAGTTGAACGCATCAAGCTGTCATACTGATATCTGTGCCAGCTGGTCACCTGTTGACAGGCCAGCACAGACCTCTGGGAATAAATCCATCCTGCACTTCTCTACCCAGCATCAAACAGACTGTCTCTCTCAGAACATCATCTCCCTGTGCAAGCCACTTCATTACATGGAAAACCTCTCTGCTTAAGTGATGTTTAGTTATCAGCTTGCATCTTAATATCTAACAAATTAAAAACAAAATTAGCACTGAGCCAATGTCTTTCCATTGTACGTTGTCTTAAGAGACAACCATCTTCTCGCAACAGACCACTATTATTTTTTGCCTCACTAATACAACTGAAAAGAGTCAAGAGAAAAATAAAACATAAAAACAAATGATTTCAAATATCTCTACTAATGATCATTGCTATACATTTATTTTATGCCATGGACATCCTATTACTAAAATATTATTTTCTTTATTTTTCCTTTCCCTACCTTAGTTCTTCATCTCATCCTCAACAGACATGTCTCTCCGGGACACTGACAGTGGCAAATGCCACATTTTTAGGGGCACAGTTATTCAACAGAGAGGGTGAGACGCATCATTAATAGTCCAGCCAGAAGATCATCTTTAATTAACATCTGAAAGTTAACAAGCACCTCCAACCGAACTGTTGAGTACTTTGTCTGCAAAAAGGGCTACACACAGTCAACCAAAGACACAGAACAGCATTTAATGGAGCATTTATGGAAGTAGTGATTGTAGTTAGCCACATACTGGACTAGTAGCAAACAGGTCTGAGGGTGTGATATCTTTTTGGGTCAGAAGTAAAATGGCCTTTGAGAAAGGAATAACCCACCAAGGAAAGTGACAAACACAATTCCATTCTTTGTCTTCAAACACAATAGACAATAACTTTGCAAGCCTTTGTGACTGCAGCATGGCTGAGACAGTACACATGCCTGGCTAGAGTTTCTGGCTTGGAAGACATGGGAAAGGTCTCATTCTGCTTAAGTCTTGCAGAATGAGACTGAATGCTGCTAAAATCACTGTGGATCCGGGGCTGACACACTGACTCTCCTTACAAAGGAATCAGAAGATAATGCTATGTATGTATCTTTCCTGATAAGATAAAGTTGCTCACCAGTGGAAACCTATATCTGAGAGTTGTCCTCCATAGTATGCATGGGTAGAGATGTACAGTTTTGAGAAATTAATTTCCTATGCTGCTCTGCTGTGTGACTTTCCCTAGGTTTGCTAGCCATTTTATTTAACCCTCTCTAGCTTTACTACTGCTGTGTGTGTGTGTGTGTGTTTGTGTGTGTGTGTGTGTTTGTGTGTGTGATGTACATATGTGTGTGCCTGGGTGCTTGTGCACGTGTGTGCACCCCACTGCTGGAATTATACTGCTGCACTTGTTTTTTTTGTGGGTGCTGGGGATCCAAACTCAGGTCTTCACGCTTGTGGGGAAGGCATAGTACTGACTGAACCATCTTCCAGACTCCAGCCTTACCATTTCATGTAAGGTGGGGTTAGAATCAGATTTCTAAAAACTATGGTATTCCAGGCCAGCGAGAGGGCTCCGTTGGTAAAGGTGCTTGCTGCCAAGCCTGATGAAAGGAATTCAGTCCTTGGAATCTACATGGTAGAAAGAGAGAACAATCTTTCACAAGTTATCCTTTGACCTCCACATGTGTGCTATGGCATGTCCATGCTCACATACACACAGAAACACATGCACACACTCAAATTTTAAAAACTTGTTAAAAAACATGGTATCAAAATATATTGGTGTGTCTGAGTGCACTCTGACCTGTGCCCTCTGAAAAGAGCCTAAGACTTTCATCAGATTGGCAAATGTCCTGAGGACTAAGACAAGTGTGAAGAAGAACCTTACCTGTGGCAGGTAATTATCTGTAGGGCTAGAAAATGACATGGAGAGCATTCAAAGTCTTAGGCTGGAACTGATAGGTTACAGGGGGATTTGATTTGTTCTGTTTGGCTGAGAGTGAGCTGCTCTTCTTATGTAAATGAAGACTGAAAAAGAAGATGGGTTTACATTGTTTAAAATGCAATGTGATCTTTTGGCTCAAATAACTGTATGCCAGTAAATTAAGGATTAATTTAGTTCTGAAAATCACGAAAATTCTCTTTGTGAATTTGTGCATTAATGCAACTTTCCACTAAGCGACTTTCACCAAAGGGAGAGCTTTGGCTGCGTTCTTCCCAAGGCAGTAAGGGGTGGGGGGTATTAGACTGCACAGACTTAACGGACAGCCTCTTCCTCTATAATCTACTTGGTTCACAGGGCTGTTTGGATTGGGGCTGATTTCATGATCAGATAATAGAGCAAGTGCACAGTTGTTCTCAGCTACAGCTCCCTCTTCCTCCTTGTTCTCATCGGACTCATCCCATTCAGTACTGCTGCCCAAAAGGAAAGGAACATGAGTGCAAACAAGGAAAAGACTTCACCTGTGTTAACACTGCTGCTGTACCAGAGCAGAGACCCATACAGAGCAGGGGATCCACCTGGAATGAAAGCAAAGATGGGAGATTTAAGAAGACTTTGGGAGTGCTAACACCTCCTTTATGAGCCTGGGTAGACCAAGTGCATCAAACTTGATTCTCTGAAATCGATAGCACTTCCTGTTTTCTGAAAGCAATCCACATGGTTGTTCTTGATTATAAACCCATGGAGTTCAGTCTGTAGCTATGTGGGTTATTACCGCCCTTGTGCAATACCCCACCAACTAAACAGGATCAGGCAGCTCCAGTGAGCCTCTGTATTTGACTACTGGGAAGCTGTGAGGCGTTTGTTCCTGTATAGGGCAGATTTTCACCCATCCTATAGAGTCATAACCTCAGTTTATTGATGCCATGAATATAGCAAATTCATCATTTCATCTCATTTCTCTAGTTACAGAACTCTCCTATACATGAAATAGCAACAACAATAACACAAACCACAACACTGACATTTTCATTAAAGATGGGTACTCAGGGATGAATCTGTTGAATTAAAGGAATGCCCTGTTATCTAAGCTCAGTGCCTCTTGGACAACATGTAAAATTAGACTCTTAGCAAGCAAAACCCTCTGCTGTTGAAATTCAAGCATAATTAATGGCTAATTTCCCTCCTGTTACATCTCTCTCCCTTAACCCCCTGAATCGCAGAGCTAGCTCTATTTACACTCTAAGAGGCTAGAGACACGAAAATGACCAAATTCTCCATATTAAATTTGAGCCTATTTTAATACATGTTTTTCATCCACTTAATAAGAGTTGTTGCTTCAAGAGCCCAGAAGACAGAGACATCCATTTCACTGCTAATCCCATTTTCTTTTTTGCTTGTTTTTCTTCTGTTTTCTTGCTCCTTCCTCCCAGACATCTATCTGAAAATACTCTTAGCTCCCTTGTGACCTGTTTATTCCCACTGCATTTGCTGTGTGATTTTATCAATTTAATGTTGAGACACATAGTTGTATACTGACCGTCTTTATCAAGGTAAGTTGGGGTTGCATATTCACAATAAAGTACTATCTCAGTATGAATGAAGGTAATGAAAGGAAAATGTTCTTCAGATTAAAAAAAAAGAACTGGAAGAAGACCTCTGGGTACATGTGGGCTGGTGTAGAGCACTGATTCCCAGCAAGCTGAAAGAATCCTTAACATACACGGAATCTATTATCTCACACACCACATTTCAGCGGCCATCTGGGACACCAAATTGCCAGTGAAACCAAAAGGCACAGCAGTGGTTAGATGCACAGGTTTACAATTAAAAAAGAAGATAATGGTGGGTTACATTTGCTTCCAAGCTTTATGTAATCTACCAAAGTTAATCTTTTTCTTTTCTCTCATGGAGCAAAGGGTATTTGACAGACACTGTGCCCTAACCATTATTCTAATTTTTTAAATTATTATTATCCCTGAGTTATAAAAGAAAGATACAAGTACCATAAGATGATATTAGAAAGACTTCAAAAGAAGAAAAATGAGGGGGAAAAAGGTCAGATGGGGAAAATATGCACTCAAAATGGAACTCTTTGCTGAAAGCCACAGATGTGATACCTTGAACCTCAGGAGAGCTTTAATTAGCCTGGCTCTTTCTGGAGCGCATGCTCAGGAGCTCTGCAGCAGACTGTAAATTAGGGCATGGAAACCCAGCAGGGGCCTGGCTGGGTTAAGGGGGAAGGGCAAGATCTTAAAGGAAAAACAGTCATTTAAAAGAGCAATGTCTGTGGGCCCCACCATTCCTGACATAAGCCCTTCAAACCTTCTGCCAGAAACCTACTCCACCCTTTCATTTTATATCAGTTAAGAGCACTTCCCACTCTTTCAGCTGTCATGGGCTCTGTCATGACTGAACTTGGAGCTTGATTATTGATTTATTGATTTCCTCCTATTTGCATTTGCAAATGTAATTTCTATCATTGTTTGCTGAATTTACTTTAGACTTTGTTTCTCCATGCTGTTCATTCTTTTTGATTTCAGTCTCATTGTATCTTTTTTTTCTGGGTGGTTTGGGGGCCATGGGTTGTAACAGGTCTCACTATGTAGCCCAGGCTGGCCTGGAACTCTCTATGTAGACTAGACTGGCCTTGAACTCACAGAGACCAGCCTGCCTCTGCCTTCTAGGTACTGGGATTACAGGCATGGGTCACTATACCCAGCTTCTCACTGGGTCTAGCTTTAGTCTTTCAACTGGTGCTGCATAAATTTTCTACTTTCACTCTTTCTACACCTTAGAACAATACCTCAGTAGTTCTCCTTCACCTGTAGGACAGTACCTAGTTCCTGAGCTCCGTGGGTCTGCTCTCCATCAGTCCAGGAAGCTTTATTTCACACACCCTTTAGGTTGCATTTTCTATCTCACAATGACCATTGCTTCTGGCATGCATGTCCCAATACAAATGATTAAACATGGGCTATACAGAATAGATTTTGATCAACTTAAAATACATTAACTTTAAAAAAATATGTCAACTTTTAGGTTTAGGATGATACAATCCACCTTCTACTTAAAAATTTATTAATTTAACTATATGTCATATAAAATGTCAATTTTAATTATTGTTTTTTTTCAAACACATCATGATGTCAAAGAAAAAGATTTAAAGTTAAAAGTGTGGTCCAAAATATAATGAAGCCATCTGAGGAGGTTTGAATGAGAAGATGTTTCCCCCATAGGCTCACGTAGTTGAACACTTGGTCCCCCCCAGTTGGTTGTGCTGTTTGGGGAAGTTTAGCTTTGCTGGAGGAAATGTCACTGGAGGCGGGTTTAGCCAGCTTATAGCTTCACTCCACTTTCAGTTTACTCTCTCTGCTTCGTGTTTGCAACTGAAGATGTGATCTCACAGTTTCTTGTTCCTGATGCCGTGCCTCCCTGCCACGATGGACTCTTATCCCTCTGGAACCACAAGCCAAAATAAACTCTTCCATAAGTTGCTTTGGGTCAAGATATTCTATCACAGCAATAGAAAACTAACCGATATACCATGTCAAAGGTTTTATTCAACTCAATAACTGATAAGGGAACTATAAGGTAAAGGTGGCTCCATCCCAGATTAGGCACAAAATGAATTAACAGCCCACAGGGCAAGAAGTCATAGATTATCTTTCCTATTAAATATAATCAATTGTATCTCCCAGCTCCCCCCCCCAAGAAATCTATAAACTGACCCATAGCTTCAGTATCTGGGCTCCTTTGATAATAAATGGCAAAGTTAAAGGCAAAAAAATGATGCTGGACTAGGCTTGTTAAACAATACTTTAACTCTACAGTGGAAAAAAAACACCATGTTTGTTTGTTTTGCTTTCTAATTATTTCTAGGTTATGGATAATTATTCTCAACAATGGAAAATTTGTTTCTAATTTTTCTAATCGAAATCCTTTTCATGAGTCAGTGATTCGGGGAGCATGATAGTCTCTTCTTGAATCACTGTGTTAGCTACTTTTCTGGTTGTTGTTACCTAATACCTAACAAAAGCAAGTTAGGGTTCATTTTGGCTGAGGGTTTAGGGCACAGTCCATATGGCAGGGGAGGCACAGCAGCAGGAGCTCGAGGCAGCTGGTAGCATCTCTTTCATTGTCAGGAAGCAGAGGGAAACGCATGCTGGTCTTCTGTGCTTTCTCCCTTTTATTCAGCCTGCAAGGGCAGCCCACATTCCCTGAATGTGAGGACCTACCTCAGTTAAACCTCCCTAGGAACACCTTGGCAGTCATGCCCAGAGATTCCTTTGCTAGGCAAATTTAAATCTTGTCCAGGTGACAATCACTTTTCCAGAACATGACATCTTTATGTCCTCCTGAGTTTCTCAGACACGATCTTCTTGAAATCTTGAATAAGTTCTTATCCATAGATATATTCTATCTATGTAGCATGTATAGATAGAAGCACTCTGGAATATTGTGCAGTTATGTGGATGTTAAAAATGTAGGCACAACTACCACAATACTAATAATGACAGCAAAAAGGAAGAGGCAGTATAAAAACAGTTTTAGTAGTCCAGCAGATGACCAGAAAGTTAAGACACACAAAACAAGATTGTAAAGTTAATTTCAATTATATCGTCACAATAAATTTAAAGGGACTTACTCACCTATTAAAAGATGGACTATCAAGTTGGACGGAAAAAAAGGAGTCCTCCTTCTATAAACCTGCCCAAAAAAACCTAAACTACATATGAAAATAAGAAAATGACCTAAAAGACGAGAAGGAAAATAACAACAAACAGGTGGTATAACAAAATTAGTATAGATTTTTTTAAGACAAAAGCATAAAAGAATAAAAGTGATTTCATCATGATAAAACCAGTGTCTCAATTAGCACTTTTATGAATTACAGAGATTTTAAAAGTAAATGTAAAATAATGATTTTGGAAGATTTTGATATATTCATTAAAAACTGATACAGCCCCTTATGAAATTGTCATAGTAATATAATTATAATGAAATTAACAAGCTTGATGTTATAGATTATAGAAGAGTCCTGAATCCAACAAGTGGAAACCATACATTATTTTCAATATATATAACACAGTTTTTTAAAATATGCTAGGTCACAGGAAAGATCAGTTTCTATGACTTAATATTACCTTTGTCCATGACAAATTTAAATTGATAATAAATAAAAATGGTTAAAACAGCACAACTTTTAACTGGAAAGTTTTTAAAATGTACTTAATATAATTCATTGGTTATAAAGAGCAAATTCCAATATTTTTAAGCAAAATTTGCTTAATGTAACTTGTAAGAGAGCAGTTGTACGTAGAATTGCATAGTCTTCAATATAATTACTCTTTATTATATTATTTATTTATTTTTATTTTATGTATATGAATGTATCTCATGTATGCACATGCACTCCTGTCATGCAATGCCCAAGGAGGCCAGAAGAGGGTGTTTGATCCCCTGGAACTGGAGTTATGGATGGTTGTTAGCCACCATGGTGAGTGCTGGGAATTGAACCCGGGTCCTTTGTAAGAGCAATCAGTGGTCTTAACCACTGAGCCATCTGTCCAGTCTCTAATATACTCTTTACTGAAGCAGGGTGTAGTATTGCAGGTTTGTTATCTCATCTCTCTGGAAGTTGACACAGAAGGATCAAGAGTTCAAAGCCAGTCCTGGGTACATAGCAAGTTCAAGGCCTACCTGGGCTGCATGAGACCACATCTCAAACTAAACAACACAAAACAAAACAAAAGAGAGACAGAGAGAGAGAGAGAGAGAGAGAGAGAGAGAGAGAGAGAGAGAGAGAGAGGAGAGAGAGTTGAAAGCAAGCAAACTAAATTTTCAAGCCATCTAGCTAGTAAAGAATTTCAGAGTAACAAAACTAAGTAAACTAAAGGAAGGAACTCAGAGGGTCCATAAGCTCTATTTTTATGTTCTAATATTTGGAATATGTGTCTATATTCCTTTATAGAAAGAAATACAGAAAAAATTCTCAAAATTAAAAGATTATTTTTAAATACTAATGTAGGGGCTAGAGAGATGGTTTAGCAGTTAAGAGCACTGGCTGTTCTTGCAGAAGACCCAGGTTTGAATCCCAGCACCCACATGGCAGCTAACAACTATCTGTAACTCCAGCTCCAGGGGATCTGACAGCCTCTTCTGTCTTCCATAGGCATTGCATGACACGGATGCACTTACCTACATGTAGCCAATACATGCATACACATAAAATAAAAATAATAATTAAAATATTTTTTAAAATACTAACTTAAACAAACCCATGGAGAAGACTAATTAAGAGTGAAACAACAAAGTGAGCAATATTAAGAATGAAAAATGGGGGCAGGCAAGTTAGCTCAGGGGGGAAGGTACCTACCACCACACCTGAAGACCAGAGTTCCATCCCAAGGGACCCACATGATGAAAGGAGAGAGCCAACTCCTGAAAGTTGTTCTTTGTCCTCCACAGGTGCCTTGGCAAAACTGGGTATACACACACCACATACACACACCCAAATAATAAATAAATAAATAAATAGTAATAAAATAATAAAAAAATGGAATGCAAATACAACCAGAGAGTGATTCAAGAAAACAAAAATGAACAAAATTATTCCCAAAATAATCATAAACAAAAATTGAAAGATTTTTAGGAAAAAAAAAAACTAAGTAATTTGGGGCTGGAGAGATGGCTCAGCGGTTAAGAGCACTGACTGACTGCTTTTGCAGAGGACCAGGGTTCAATTCCTAGCACCCACATGGCGGTTAACAACCATCTGTAATTCCAGTTTCAGAGGATCCAGCACCCTCTTCTGACCTCCAAAGGCATTGCATCACACAGGTGCACCTACCTACATGCAGGCAATACACACTTACACATAAAATAAAAATAATAAATAAATATAATTTTTTAAAAAAAACAAGTGATTCAAGAAGAAACAAAGCCATGTGACCCTTCCTCCCCACCCCCTTTTCCCTCCTTCCACAAAGCACCTCTCCCTTCCCCAAAACTAAATCCATATGCTTAAAGGGGCGTTTTACCAAACACTTCTAACTCATGTTATGTGGCCATTATACCCACCACTTCCAACCTTCCAATCCTTTAATTGCCAAAATCGGGCAGGTAACCAGTAAAGGGTAGCTACTAATTAGGTGCAATAGACACGTGGTTAATGGAGATTTTAGAGGTATAACAAAGGATACTGGCGAGACAAGGGCACCTTCTGGCCACCATATCTATTCTGTATTATATTTGGGGGTATGACACAATCTAGAATCACCTGTAAAGTCTCAGTGAGGAATTGTCTACATTATGTTGGCCTATGGGCATGCCTGTGATTTTCTTAATTGGGTTGATCTTGAATGTGGGCGGCACCATTTCATGGTTCGGGGCCTGGACCGAATGGACAAGGAGTGATGCATGCCTGAATCCATTGTTCTGCGCTCTTCACTGTGGATGTATTGTAACTAGTGCTGCCTTGACTTCCTGGAATTGTGAGCCAAATTCGCCCTTTCTCCCTTAAGTTGCTTTTGTCATGGTAAATTATCCCCAGCAACAGAAATGGAACTGTGGGGGGTGGGGAGATCATGGTTTGGATACTTGAACAGTATGCACCTGTTAAAACACTAAGCAATCAGAAAGCAGGTTTGGTGGAGGCACAAGGGGCAATCAGAGTCCTTTGGACCTTCCAAGTCTTTCCTAGCCTTCAGCCTGCCTGACCTGGCCACCATCACCTCCTGCCCACAGGTGACGATGCCCTCCTGTTCTGCTGAGTCAAGGCCTGCTGCATTACTTCTGGAAGCGGGTATCTCGCGGCGTGGCGGGTATATCTGTGGGTACCTAATCTGCCCGCACAGAGCAGGGCTGAACGCGCGCAGCCGGGGCCTGTCGGGTTCGGACTCTAGAACTCCCCCGCGCTCCCGCATTCCGTCGCACCCGGAGAGGCCTACCAGACCTCAGCGGGACACGGCCGGGTGCTGGCCAGGCCGGGAGGCGGCGGAGCGCATGGGCCGGGCCCCTCCCTGCGAGTCTCCACCGCCCGGCGGCCCGCGCCGCACCCACTTCCTCTTTCCTGTCCCTCGCGGCGCCCCGGCAACCGCTCCACAAAAATTTGTCAGTTCTGACAGGAAGCGTGGAGGCCGGAGCTGGGCGCTCTGCAGCGCATCTCCGACGCGCTGCGGGCCTGGACTCGGGTGGGGTCGCCGGCCGCGCCTGCGGTGTCCAGCCTCGGCCTCTACCCGCTTGGGTCTCGGCTGCCTTCGTTCCCGCCTCGTTCCCGCTTCGACTTCAGCCTCCTCCAGCTCGGGTCTCGGTCCCACCCGCCCCGCCCCGCCCGGCCCTCAGCCCCAGTGGCAGCGGGGAGCCGCTCCGAGGGCCATGGAGATGGAGGAGGCGTTCCAGGTGGTGGGCGAGATGGGCTTCTACCAGATGTACTTGTGTTTCCTGCTGGCGGTGCTGCTGCAGGTGAGTCCCGGCTGTCCCCACAGCCCCACTTCCGCCCCGCCGCCCCGCAACGCCGCCTCCGGGCCCCGGCCTGGCTCTGCTCGGTCCCGGGTGTGGCGGGACCCGGGCGGGACAGAGGTCGGGCGCCGCGTGGCGGCGGGCGGGCGGAGGAGCGGCTCCCAGGCTACTCGGGCCTCCCATCCTGTCACATAGAGTGCTGGAAGGAGCGTGGACAGGGGCACTTCAGCAGGAGAGCTGGTTGATAGATGAAAATGACATTATCTGGACTTCGTGGCAGAAATGAAAGGGAATCGTTACTCTAACCTGTGGCTCTGTCACCTTGCAATCTAAGACACAGAGAGCCCTGATACCCCCCAGTCCCCACGCCCCAACAAAAGGTCGGATCTAGACAGGCCTCCTTCAGCTCTGGGTTATCTACCCCCTAACCCTTTCTGGGTTTGACAGGGCTTCCTATTCCAGGGGTTTTAATGAATAAGTGAAATAATCTACGGTGTATGGTTGGTTACCAAGAAGAATTCCTTCTTGTATAGAATTCTCAGAGTTTACTTGCACACCTCAGCTCAAAACACTTGATTCTAGAGGGACTTGGTGGTTCAACTGTTGTAATCCCAGCACTCTGGAGGTTGAGGCAGGATGTGTCCTTCCTGGAGAATTCAAGGCTACTTAAGGAGTCTCTGTTTAAAAAGAAAACAAGCCAGGCATGGTGGCACAGCCTTTAGTCCCAACACTACTGAAACAGTTGGATCTCTGTGAGTTCAAGGCCAGCCTGGTCTGCATAGAGAACCCCAGGCCAACTGGGTCTATGTCTCAAAAAGACCAAAAAAAAAAAAAAAAAAAAAAAAAAAAAAAAACCAAAAAAAAAAAAAAAAAAAAAAAAAAGTAAAAGAAAACCCAAACAAAAAGCCTAGGGCTGGATGTAGGTCAGTGGTAGAACACTTGCCTAGCATGTGCAAGCTGTGTTTGATGGGTAATATTCCCAACATTCTGCCCTCAGAGGCTTGCATTCCCCGGATGAAGTGGGGTATGGTGAGGCGGGCTTGACAGCTAAGCCACTAGTTAAGATGTAATGATGCTATTCTTCAGGGAATGGGCTAACAAAAATCAACTTATTCATTCCCTTTCTCATTAAAATCTTTAAAAGTTGAGTTGATTTTATCACCAGCCAGAAAAATGGTTCCAGTCATATATGGAAACATTCTTTCTCTTAGCACAAGTTTTCAGTTCATAAATATGCAATATTCTGAAGTTCTTTTAAGCTTGCTGTGTTTGGCTTAAATGTACTTCTCTATGGAGGATAAGTGTTAAAAAAACTTTTATTCTTTGATAGTTCTGTACATGTATATAACAAATTTTAGTTATTTTTACCCCCAGTTCCACTTTCATGCCCATCTCTCTCCCAGTTCCCATCTTTCATGGTGTGTGTGTTCCACTGAGTTTAATTAGGGTTGCTTGCATGATCATGGGTGGGAAGTTATTTATTGCAGCAAGGGCAACTTATCAGTGGCTATACCACTGAAGAAAGTAAAACTCTCTACCCCAGCAACCATTAGCTACCAATATAAAAGAATATTTAATTCCGAACTGGATTTATAACCATGATCTCTAATCTTCATTCATCGTGGTTTCTTATTCTGACCAAGAATTCCAGGAACATACTTCCTCTCTGAGCAATCAATCCCTCCTTGCCGCTTTTCTAACCTATACTCTCTACTTCCTGTGTTATCTTCTTACTCTCTTAGCCACATAACTACTGACTTTCAGAATAAAATTTTCTTGAGTATGGCACTGAAAAGACCACTATTCTAGATAAGGACCTGTTAACCTTCCCATACATTTGCTACCTTTGACCCTGCCTCTGTGCTGGATTCCAACTCAAGGTTTTTTTATGCAAGGGCTTTATCACTGATCAGTACCCTAGTCCTTTCATATTTTTATTTATGACTGATCCATTTCATTGTAGTTTGTTAACAAAAAGTCCCAAACCCATGGCCCTGGCAAAAGTTCCAAGCCCATGACCCTGGATTGCTCACTAATCCTTGATTGACATTTGGTCAATATTTGCCATGAAAGATCAGTTCTTAAAGTGTTGTTGACAGTGGTAGACTGTTTATCTTGTTAAGTATGGGCAGGAGAAGCTCCCTAAAGCTATGCTTATACCAGTGGAGGGATCCAAGGAGGAATGAGTTCCTTGTAGCCACATGTTTGTGGTGGTGAGCTAACTAAGACCTACTACATGTAACTGTCTTGGATACAGGAGTAGAGTCCCCCAAAGACCTCTCTATTGAGAGTCTGGTTGGAGACTATTTGGAATAAGGAAACTTTCCTACCAGCCACATGGGGGAACTGGAGTGAACCGTTATTACACAGTTGTATTACAGATCATTTCATCTTTTCAGGGAGGAGTCTTCCCCTAGCAAAGGAAAATAGGAAACCCTTTTCATACAGTTGGCCTACACAGAACGAAGATGATACTTGTGTGATTCTAACTATTGCCCAAGGAAGTTGCAGAGCAACTGCACAGCAGCATTGCTGGGGAGGGGAAGCTACTGCTCAACCTTTCCTCATCTAGTTTACTATGATTAACCCATCTACGAGGCACAGAACTAGAGGGACAGAGATGGAAACTATAGACTCTGTGTGTTTCTGTTTCAGGATTATGGCTGTTTTAAAAATGGGTTTTGGGTAGAGGCAGGCAGATTTCTGTGAGTTCAAGTCCAGCCTGGTGTACATAGTAAGTTCCAGGTCAGCTGCGGCTATAGGGAGATCCTGTCTCAAAAACACCAAAAAAAAAAAAAAAAAAAAAAAAAATTTAAAGCCCTTTTTTTAAAAAAACCCAAAATTAAAAAAAAGGGGAAAAAAAACACAAACAAAACCAAACCCGAAAGTCTTAATATAACTTTTTTTTTAAACTCCACCACCCAAATTATTTTGATATATCACAGTGAAAGATTTATCGTCCTCTTTTTTTACCCTTTTACAAAAAAAAAAAAAAAAAAAAAAAAAAAAAAAAAAAAATTTAATGCCCTTTATTTCAAATACACCTAAGTTCAAACTAAGTGGACAAAACCACATAGCAAAACTAACTCTGAAGATCTTAGATTAACTGTTTTCTAGAATGCCATCACACAGATCAGCAGAAGTTTCCTCACTATCCAATTTCCTTTCTAAGAGGCTTGCCTTTAACTTCTTGCAGCCATAATCTTGACTCTCCACAGTGGTCAGTTTTCACTTGATGTTAGCCAAAAGACTGAGAAGTATGGTTAGTTTTTAATCTCTGGATTCCATGTAACAATAGAAGAAGAGAACTGACTCTACAAAGTTTTCCTCTGACCTCAACATGCAGCCCCCCCCATCATACATACAACTCATGGAATAATGATTTTAAAAAAGAATAGATGATAGTTCATCAGTCTCTCTCCAGCATTATTAAATGATAGCATGCAAATGCCCTAATGAGGTGTATTGAAGTACACAAAGAAAAAGTTAAAGAGAAAAGATTGTCCAGTGTAAAAATAGTTGAGATGTTGAGGCTGGAGAGGTGGCTCAGCAGTTAAGAACACTCACTGCTCCTGCAGAGGACCCAGGTTCAGTTCTCAGCACCCACATGGTGGCTAACAACCATCTGTAACTCCAGTTCCAGGGGATCTGACACCCTCATCTGGCCCTTACAGACACTGTTGCAGCATGGATGCACTTACATACATTCAGGCAAGGCACTCATATACATAAAATCAAAATAAGTAAATTTTTTTTAAATAGTTGATGTCTGAATAAACAATATGACAATATTTTATAGCTAGAAAAATTCTTACCATAAAAATAGACTTGCCTTCCCTAGGGTCAAGATTACTTGTAGTATTTAATTATTAGTAACTGTTTAGTTTATTACCATTTCTTTTCCAGTGGTGTTTTGAATTTGATGTCATCATCACTAACTTGCATTTGTATGTGACATTATATATGTGCTTTGTTGTCAGGCTATCTGGAGGAGGTAAGTTAAATAATTGTTTCTTACTTCTCTTAGACATAAAGCAAAATGATCCCTATTTTGTTGTAAGCCAGAGGTTCCAGCCCCTTTATTTTCCTCAGGATCATGAGTCGTAGATTGTAGTATGATTTGTACATCTTCTAACCAACAGGAGCCATGGTAGTCTATAACATTAGTTTCATCAGCAAAAGTGTGAGGCTGTGCTGTGATCCTCATCTTGAGGTAGATTACTCTGTTGCTTTGGGATTCATCATTTTTATGTAAATCCTTGATAACTTCAACTTTGTCAGATCTTAGAACTACCAATGCATTGATATAATCCATGTAACAAATATCTTTTCATGACATTTCAGGAAGTGGAATGAGTGAATAGGTATTTTGCAGAAGAGACTGCCATAGTCAATACATGAAAAAGTATTTATGTTCAGTAGGCATTGGGGACAGGCATATAAAATGACTGTGAAATACCATTTCACAGTTATTGTATTAGGTGACACTGAAAAGTCTAGCTGCATATGATAAAAATGAGGAGAAATAGGGATTACTCCATCTAGAGAGAAATTTGGCACCCTTTAGTAAAATTAAAACCCAGCTTTAAACTTCAGGGAACATCCTCCATTGTAGATCTTGAACATGACATGAGGAGATATTTATTGCTACACTTTTTAGTAACCACAATTAGAAAGCCACCGTTATGAATTTCAAAAGGGAACTGAATAAAGAGTAGGACAAGTGTGGTAGAGGCAACTAGAATGAATGAATGTGACCTATAACTGAATCCCTAAAACACAGTGTCAGGTGGAAAAACTAAGCAGTGCTGTAAATTTTGATAATATTAAGTATTAATACAAAACTTAAAAGCCTAGAATAGTACTGCGTTTGATGTATGAATGTGTATGACAGATTTAGAAATGTAGACATATGGAGTGGAATCCATGAGACTGGATTCCTCTTGGGAAGGATGAGAAGGGGAGTGAGTTTGGGGTGGGTTTCGAAGGAGATTTTATCTAAA